CCCGAACCCGATCGAGACCATGAATACGCACCGCATAAATTGAGACGGTTTAGAAGAAGCAGGGGAGGCAGTTTGGAGTCAACAACCTCAAAACGGTCATTGTCGTCGCACCCACCTACGCTCGGACCTTCCAGGCGCTACAGTTGACTGGCGTTATGCACTCGCTGATGCTGGTGCCGTACGACTTCATCTAAGTCGTCTGAATCGTCGCTAAGACCGACCCGGCCCCTTTCCAAACCCTGATCTCCCACCTCATGTCTTCCGCCAACGATCAGCGCTCCCAGGCGGAGCTCCTCTTTAACCTCTGCAAGCTTGCCGTACTCTCCCCCATCCCCGGCGCTCAGATCCTTCAAGCCGTCTCTGCGGTTGGGCTGGAGCCACATACGAGCTTGAGGTGGCTCATCAATACGGTGTTCACGGGCAAGCTGGTGTTGTTTCAGACGACATGAATGGGCCCATCAACAATGAGCGGCAATCCCCTTCTGCCCATCAGTTCCAAGCAGCAACGGCGACGGCAAAGTCTCCGACATCAAGGCTGCACCGCTCTTCTCTTGCATCCTCCTCCGTCTCTTGCCTCGCAGCTGCTAACAACTTCAAAGACCGCTGTCAAACGACTAGCCGGCCGAGAAGCTCTTCCTCAAACTCGAGCTCCTTCCCTACAAATCCCTCAGCCAAAGCATCCTAATTTATACAGAAAGAAATACAATTAAAAAAAAAAAAAAAAAAAAAAGTGGTGCATCTGGCATCACGTGAAAAAAAGAGGAATGATGGATCAAAGATGGGGTACAGCCCCATGGCAGATCAAAAGTTTCTGGTGGTGCATGGGCACCATGTGCAAAAAGGAAAAAAAATTGTAAAAAAATAAAATAAATGATGGAACTTGGTGCATCCAGCACCAAAAAGAAAAGAAAAAAAAAAAAAAACAAAACAAAACAAATGCATAGAGAGAAATAGAAGGTCCATTTTATTTATTTTTTTGAAAATTTTACATAAATTTGCATTATACATACTTAAAAAAAAAAAATCAAGTTTACAAGAGGGGATCTTCAAGGACGATCAGGTGGCGCCTCACAACTCGGCAGAGCTCCAGGAAGAGAAGGTGTCGGAGGTTGGCTGTTTGAAGCCTCAGCAGTCGGTACAGCCCCAGAAGACGAAGGTAAATGCTGCTGGAACAAACCCACAAACCTCCGATGATCAAGTAAAATCTGACCATCAGATTCCTGCATCTGGTCAATTTTCCTCTTCATGTTTGTGGCATAGTTGTGTGCAAGCTTGTGCAACTGTTTATTCTCATGCTTGAGCCCTCTGATCTCCTGTTTGAGACTCATCACTTCAGCCGCCAACGATTCAACTTGACGGGTTCGAGCAAATAGGCGTTGGGCCATGTTGGACACAGAACCCGCACACTGCACACTAAGAGCCAGAGACTCCTTAACAGCCAACTCATCAGACCGCCTGGAAAGTAGTCTGTTATCTTTGGGAGTGACAAGGTTCCGGGCCACCACCGCAGCGGTCATATTCATTCTTCATCACCGAATCCCCAACAGTAAGAGGACCAGTAGGGGATATGAAGGATGGGCGCCATATGTTGTCTGGAGAAGGCGGGACTGCCTCTTCACCAAGATTCAAGTCAAAACGACGATCGGAGGGCCCTGACATTTTCAAAGTGTTGAAGAAAGAAGAGGTCGGACAAATCAAGATCTTAAAGTGCAAGAGGGGAGTTTTCACAAGCGAAAATTCAAGTGTGCTTTGAAACGAACTGCATGCCTCTATAAAAAATCAGCACTCGAGACGGGATTTCAGAGATCGAAGAGGCGAGCTCAGAATTCGAAGAGGCCATTCAAAAATCGAAGAGGCAAGCTCAGAAATCGGAGAAGCATCTTGCTTTTCCAGACGCGTCAACACCCGTCACACGCAAACTCAGCTTTGCGGAAATCACGGGCAATTTGTTAAAGCGCCAATCCCAGATATCGAAGAGGCGCCAGTCTTTTCAGCCTCGTCATCACCTGTCATATGCACACTCAACTTTGCGCAAATCACGGGCAATTTGTCGAAGATTTTCGGTGAAGGAGAAAGCACGTGAAATTTTACTGTTCAATCACGCGTTAGTTTGTCGACACGAGTGAAAGAATAGTACCTCTACAAGTATTAAAGAACTTCCTATAAACTGTCTACCTTCACCCTACATAGTAAGCGCAGACATACATAACATTTCTTTATCTCCAAAAATGTTTTCCCAACGAAAACCTCTCGAGTCATTCAGTGTTCCTTATTCCTTGGGGTACCTCTGCAAGCCAATGACTCCAAAGCAAAGTATCTCATATCACCAGGGTAGAAAGCAAGAGTATCTCATATCATGCGTTCTCTCTGTCCTTTCCTTTGTCCTTGTTCTTACCTACAAAGACAAGGATAAAGAAAACAATATGCCGGAACTTCCACTCAAACTCGGGTAAGGAACCGACTGCTTGGAACCCTTCCCTGATTGCCTACCTAGCACTGCTCTCGAGTACTCGTTTCGCACTGCTGCTGTACTTCCAAAGAAGCTGCCACATCTGCCTGGAGAACAGATAAGGCAAGTGAAAATGATACCTTGCAGCATGTGGAGACAAGGTGCAGAAGGAACAAGCAGAGAAGAATGCGGTTTGCACAGTCAACTCAGCAGAAGGAGTCCGAACTGAGGAACTCGAGAAGCTGCCATATCTGCCTGAAGAAACAAGCAGAGAAGAATGCAGCATGCACAGCCAACTCGGCAGAAAAAGTCTGAGATGAAGAACTCGTTTTGACCCTCAAATTCTTGGGTCGACTTACTAGGCGTTGTGGGCTGCACGTGCCGATTCACCACCCTTGAATCGAATCCTTAAAGATCAAGTCACCAACTGGAAGAAGAGTTCATCAATCTTGAAGATCATACCGTTGACCAAACCGCTCAGGTGTGAATTAGAAAGATTGAACAAAGAAACAGGTTGTCACCTTTACCTCGTGCCTGCTTGCCATGTGTTCGAGTCAACCTTCAAGAATCAAGCCTCAACGGCCTTTGAAGAAGTTTCCAGCCAAATTCAAGATCAAGCCTCACAGCCCTTGGGGAAATCACAAGTCCGATTCAAGATTAAGTGTCTACCACCCTTGAATCAAAACCTAGTTCAAGAATAAGCTGTGGAAAATCAACAATTGGAGGAATCTAGAAAATCCTTCAACCCAGTTCAAGATCAAAGCTGTGGAAAGTCAACAAAGCGCAACAAAATACGTGTCGATTCACCCACTACCAAAGCCAAAGATCATCTACCACATGAAGCTCCTTGTGGTCCAATTTCAACCTTCAAGATCAAGCCTCGACGACCCTTGAAGAAATTTCAAACAAAAGTTCAAGAACAAGCCTCAACGGCCCTTGAAGAAATCTCAAGCCCAATTCAAGAAGAAATCTCAAGCCCAATTCAAGATCAAGCCTCAACGGCCCTTGAAGAAATCTCCAGCCCAATTCAAGATCAAGCCTCGACGGCCCTTGGATCGACATCTACAGTAAGGGACTTCAAAACGCATCTCCTACACGTGACAATCACATGTATACGACGTGCTTTGAAGTGGGGGCATTTGTAGACATCGAAATTTCGGTAAATAAATGTTGACCGATAAATCAAAGTGTCAACGCTCATGTATTGCATAAATTTTACACGTAGCATGTGACTCAACGAAAATTGAAATGAGTTGGAAAAGTCATCAAATAAGACACGTGTCAACACCTGGCAGAAACGACTTATTTCATCCGGATATTATATTCAAAATTAGGCCTTGGAAATTCTATAAATATAAGCCCATTTCATTCATTTAAGGGGAATTCATATTACACCTTGAAGCTCTGAAGCTCTGAAACTCCGAAGCTCTCAAGCATCCAGGTTCCCGAAGAATCAAGAAAGTGTTCTTTGTTCTTCGTTCATCGTTCTTCCAAGATCAAGCCCCGACGGCCCTTGGATCAACAATCATCCACCTCAAGATCAAGCCCCGACGGCCTTTGAAGAAAGACGACCATCGTTCAGCACCATCCGTTCATCATCCGTTCATCCAAGATCAAGCCTCAACGGCCCTTTGGATCAACAACGTCGACAATCCATACGTCCAACCGTTCTTCAAGATCAAGCCCAAAAGCCCTTGAAGATCCGTTCATCACTGTTCTTTCAAGATCAAGCCCAAAAGCCTTTGGAGATCCGTTCATCACTGTTCTTCAAAGATCAAGCCCAAAAGCCCATTTGAAGATCCGCTCAAATCCACCTTCAAGATCAAGTCCACGGCCCTTGAAGAACGTTCTTCAAGATCAAGCCCAAAAGCCCCCTTGAAGATCCGTTCATCACTGTTCTTCAAAATCAAGCCCAAAAGCCCTTGGAGATCCGTTCATCACTGTTCTTCAAAGATCAAGCCCAAAAGCCCCTTTGAAGATCCGCTCAAATCCACCTTCAAGATCAAGTCCGCGGCCCTTGAAGAACGTTCATCCTTAGATCAAGCCCAACGGCCCTTTGGATCAATCACACATCCACAAATACACACCTTACGGAGATTGAATCAGAGGATCAAAATAGAGAGAGATTGTAACCCAAAATCATCAAATACAAATATTTGTTTGTGCACGTCGTTTCTTGTCTCTTTCGTTTCAGGAATTTTCCGTGTTCACAATAACATTTAAATTAAGAACATTATGTGATTGTGTCACTTGCACTGAAATTTTTTAAATTTCTCGATGAGAAGGTGTGGTTAAATTTGTTCAATGTGATCATTTGGTGTCCGAAACGGCGAGGAAAAAGAATCATATATAATAAACAAACAAAAAAAATCAGAAAATTGATGTGGATCAGATTCGGATATCCGAGACTGGATAATTTGAAATTGCCAAGAGACTTCCATCAAAATTTCGGCATTGGTAACCTTGTTTGGTGGTAGAAAGAGTTAGTTTTTGAAGTAATTTTGAAGTCTCAATTGCTTCATCTCATCAAACTATAAGATGCTACAAGAAGTACAAGAAAAACTATACCAAAAATGAAAAAAAGGAAAACAACAATGTATCAACAAATTGTTAGGCTAAATAAACTTAATTATACACTAAACTGGATTTGGAGACATAATTCCATATTTAAACAAATACTGTTTAGGGCCGCCATAAAACTCCGGTAAGAGGATCTTCCGGCGGTCGAAAGCTATGCCGATAACATTATGTGGTCTTCTTCCTCCTCCATGTGTTTCCTCTAAGTACGAAATATGCCCTCCTTGCAATTAACCAGCCTTAACCCAAATTAGTTTACTCCCCAAAGTTTTTCTTCCTTTCTATACTTTTCCTTTATTTTTTTTACTTGGTCTAAAGATAAAAATCAAAAGGTAAAAAGAAAAAGGATAGCAACTTACCCAATGACCATTTTTTCACCTTCTTGCTCTTCTAGTTAATCAAACTCCCTTATCCCCACTGACCCAAATTTTATGGTCCAAAACTATTTTTCACCTTCTTGCTCTTCTCGCACCGTACGTTGATCTCATCATCTCATTCTTCAAAATGATGAGCTGATGAACGGTAGAGATCATATGGGGCCCACAGATGATCAACGGTGCATGGCTTTCTTGAATCTAACCTCAACCAGGGCTTGCCCTTCCCACTCCAATGCAACAGGCTTATAGGGCCAGGATGCAAACTCCTACACTTGCCTTCGAGATTGTCCCCACCGAGTCCATGCTGATTCCACCTGTGATGAACGGCCGTGATGTCTCCGGCCAAAACCAACAAAAATGGCGGCAAAGACCCCAAATGGTAAATTCGCTTCTGCTTCTGCACCACCATCCACTCCTCCATTTTCTTAGTGTATTCACCTTGTCTCCATTTATCCACGTCCACCACCATCACCCCTGTGTTGAAATAGCAAGGATTTCTGCCCTCAAACGTTTTGGACATTTCACTGTCGGACCAAAACGATTCTGTGAAATATTGGGTGAAGTTTGCATGGCAATATTCTGGCGCTGCCAATACCTTCCCTTGCAAGTCAACCTTCCATAACTTTGCCACGTCATCCACAACCACAAGGTCCGAGTCTAGGTATAGAACCCTCTTCACATCAACTGGAAGTATGTCGGCTAGGTAAATACGTGCATAGTTTAAGGGTTGGTCCAAGGCTTGGCGTATCGACTTTGATATTTTCCCACGTACCCTATTCGAATCGAAGCGGTAGACATTGAATTTGAGGTAGGGGAAGGTGGATTGGATGTTGGAGAGCACCTCCGGGTCGAACCGTGCCCAGAGAAAGTGGAACTCGACAATCCCTGGGCACATCGAGTGCTGCAGTATTGAAAGCATGGCCGCCATGGTGCCTCTTAGGTAATTGGAGTCAAGTGTCATGGCGATGTGAATTTTCTCTGCATGCTCGCATGCATCCATGTTTTGGAAAGCTGGTGCTTCTCGAAAGATGGCAACATTTGGAGAAGGTTTCCGGATGATGCCAAGGCGGATGCCTGTGGTGGCGGCAACATGGGTGGGGTAGTGGAGGAAGACGAGAAGGTGGATGAGGATGAGGAGGAGGAGAGACAGGAGGCCATGAGATGTCGATGAGACGGCCATCCTGCCCTTGATGGTAGAAAAAGGCGGTGGAGGGGATCAAGGAAGAAGAGGAGGACCAGGGAGAGTGGTAGCCATAGGCTGGTTGAGAGAAGGTTTAGGGGAAAGGTTAGAGATTAATGACTGATATAACAAAAATTTGGGGGGAGGCAGGTCGGTGGGATTGTGAGGAAGAGAAGATTACTCGGGGAAGAGAAAGAAGGGGTTTTGGTTTTTGTAACAAGGTTAGGTAATTAGGTTATACGTACGACCCCATGTAACAAAATATAGCAAGGCAATTATACTATTATACTATCTAAAAGTATTAATGTTTGCTTGATGGATTCACTTTCTTGATATTATTTTAGGCAGTTTGATATTTACTTTTCATATTTTTCTGCCTCTTTAAAAGGGAAACATCGTTTGTTAGAAGAAGAAAAAAAGAAATATTTTTTTTCTAGTGAAAATTTTGGAGATCAAATCTTCTGCATTCAAAATTCTATGTGGTCTCTCTGTGATCTATCTTATTTGTTTACATCTGGCCATATATTTTAACTCCACTCAACAATGTTAACTCTTCAACTTATCTCTTCAATAAAAAAGTAAAAAATAAAAAATAAATTAAGTTAAAAAGAACACTTGTCACTCAAGTATATAAGACACAGAGAAGCCATCAAAAACTTTGAGTGCATAATATTTAAACTTGAATTTTTGCATTTTTTTTTCTTTTTTCATGTGTAATTGACAATAAATTCATGGACGTCAAGTTTCTTCAATGATGTGAACAAAGAAAAGGCAATTTTCAAGTTTTTTTTTTTTTTTTTTTTTTTCTGTTTGCCGAAAGGGCAAATTTTCAAGTTGCATGCTTAATTCCCAAGTATAATAAGTTAGTAAACGAACTCGAACCTTGACCCTATATTTTCTGTATTCCTGTGATCTATATAGTTGTTTAGGTCTTCTACTTAAGATCAAGAGACCAAGTTTGGGATGTGCGAAATTTTTTACGCTGGTAACACGGTCTGGTACATTAATTATTATAATGTAATTGGTTGAATCTTTTCTCAAGTTTTTAACTAATTGTATTATTACACTTAATCTAGCGGTCGTATTCCTGCTACAGTGAAAATCTTTCTAACGAGGCCCAATGATCCCTTTCTAAGAGCAGTTCCAGCCTTGTCAATAGGCCGGGGGACAGGGGAGAAGAAAAGGCCTGAGGGCCTGTCAAGTTGCTCCAGCCATGAGGAGCCCGAGCTCGTGGAGAAGGCCCGAGCAGGGGGCCTGTCAATTTGTGACAGCCCCGGAGCCCGAGCTCCAAGCCCATTTTTTATTTTTTTCTGTCAGGCGCGTGCACCCCACTCGCGCGTGGGGGCGCGTCGCCGGACAGCTTTTCAGAAAAAACAGTCAACTTTTCAGCCTTTCACAGTTACCGTTGGGAAGCCACGTGGCTTCCCACGGTCCGTTTGATCTCAACGGCTCCTTCATTTGGACCGTTGGATCTCAATGGCAAAAAAAATAAAAAAAATCTGATTTAATATCAACCGTTCGATCTGAGATCAACGGTCGATATTAATATGCTTTATAAATAAAGAAAAAATAGTTTTAAAATTAAGAAAAGTTACTGTTGTGACACGTGGCACAATCTGGAGTGTTGGAATTCAAATTTTTTTAAATCCAACGGCAGAAATTAATTATTGGAAAAAAAAATTTTTAAAAAATGGAAAAAATTGTAAAAAATCTGAAAAAAAATTTGTAAAAATCTATCGTCAAAGATTCTCAAAAGATAACGACACGTGGCACGATAACATTGGATAAAAATCTTATCGAAATCCATCGCTAAATAATTGTTTTTTTTATAAAATGACACGTGGCGCAACGAGAACGATTTAAAAAATCTTATCCGAAATTACAAATAATTTTATTTTGTATTATTTAAACAAACAAAAAAAACTAATATTTTATTGCTTATTGCCAGGGAAAGGGCTCCAAGGGTGGAGATGCAAATGGCAATTACTGTTCATTAATGGCAGTTACTATTCATTAAAGGCAGTTACTGTTCAAAATGGTGGATTCAATAGTGGATTGCCAGGGAAAGGCTCCATGGGTGGAGTTGCTCTAATGTGGGCTTATTTTCATCATTTTTTAAAAGAAAAATTAATGAAAATGATTTGAAAATTTTAAGTTTTAATCAAAATAAAAAAAATATGTTGTAAATAAATAGTATCAGAAGTGACTTTTAAAGTAAAAATATTATTTTTCATTAAAATAAATAGTACCGAAAATATTTATTTAAAACTTCCTTTTTTTTAAATGGGCCTTAAAAATGTTAGCCCCATTCATTGCTTCCAAAATCCATGCAATGATCTAAGAACTCAGGCTAGGGTTCAGGGTTTTTCTCCCTTCTCTCTCTCTCTCTCCCTCCCTCTCTCTCTCTCTCTCTTCCACAGCGAGAAAGATGAAAGATTTACAGCTTTCGCTGAACCAAACCCAGAAGGTCCGGCTACATAGAGCTCTCGAAAAGCTCGAGTCTTTGGCTTCAAAGGCCAATTCCAACGCTTCCGTCACCGTCGCCGATTCCATCCCCGTTAACTACGAAGACGGCCTTCTCAAGTACCTCTCTTTCTCTCTCTCTCTCTCTCTCTCTCTCTCTCTAGAATGCTCTGATTTTGGGATTTTCGACCTGGGTTTTCTTCAAATTTTTTCTAAGTGTAAAATAATTTATGGGTATCTCGGATTTTTGTGAATTCAGGGGACATGGGACCTCTGAGGTCAATGGGGAAGTTGTTGCGACGGTTTGCGGCGTCGTCGAGAGAGTCAATAAGCTGGTTTATGTGCGTTCTTTAAGGGCCAGGTACTTACTAATTAAGTGTTTAATTTTTTTTGTTTTTAGTTAATTTTTGTTGAAATTTTGATCATTTGGTGCTTATGGAATTTTTGAAAATAAATTACGGTAGGTACAAACCAGAGGTTGGAGATATCATAGTGGGGCGTGTTATTGAGGTGAAAACAGGAATGCTGAACTACAATTCGATTAATTTTATCGAAAGTTCGATTATTGATGATTTGCTTTCTCTGTTGAGAAACGTTTGGTTTTATGAGTCTTTTTTGTGATCTTGTGATGAATTATGGTTTAGGTTGCTCCGAAGCGTTGGAGAGTGGAGATAAACTATAGCCATGATGCAGTGTTGATGCTTTCTTCGATGAACTTACCTGACGGCATACAGGTATAACTGTTAGCCCAAGTTGGCAGCATGCATCAGTAGCGATAAGTTTCTTTTACCAGATATGTAATTCGTAGTGTTGCTAAATAAGTGATTCGGAGTGGTGTAAAACACTTTCAAGAAGAATGCTAACTGGTTCGTCGTTCAGTAGAATGCTAACTGGAACAAGGGAATGCCAATTTTACAGTTGGACGTATTTGACACACAGCGCGGAATTCTGTTCTATGGATTCATATAGCTGTATATAAATCTGTTAGATGATCTAGATTTTCTTTGTTTGAATTTTTGTTTATCAATTTGAACTCTACAGAACCCTTTGATTCATTATATTCTATTTATTTAGATAATTTGAACCCCTTTTCAATAGAAGTCGCGTATTTCCGCCATCCACTCTTGAAATAGAAACATGTTCGGATTCAATTTGGATTTTCCACTACTGTAAATTTAGCGTTACAATCCCTCATTTAAGTTTCACTCTTTCAATTGCTAGAGGCGCCGAACTGCCCTGGATGAACTCAACATGCGCAGCATTTTTGAAGAGAATGATGTCATTTGTGTAAGTCATGTAACACGTATTACCGGCCTAATTGAATAGGAAAAAGAAACAAATTAAGACTTGATCCATTGTTACAAACACTTGCCCTTTTCCAGGCTGAAGTTCGTGGTTTCCAACATGATGGTTTACATCTCCAAGCAAGAAGTCAGAAGTATGGAAAGGTTTGTCTTCTATATAATTCGTTAACTTTTAGAAGGATGCTTCTGAACATTTTGTTCAGGCGTTATCCTTTATTTGTTAGTATTTCTCACAATGATTGTAACCTGCTTTGCAGCTTGGAAGGGGTCAGTTGCTCACAGTTCCTTCTTATCTAGTGAAACGACGAAAGCAGCACTTCCATCATCTAGAAAACTATGGCATTGACCTGATACTCGGCTGTAATGGTTTCATCTGGGTTGGTGAACATGTTGAAGTTACTGACGATATGCTAGTAGATCACAAGTCTCAACAACATGATACCAAAGCCGATAAAAATTCCATTAGTCCCGAAGATCAGGAGAAAAACTACACTACGCAACAGACAAGAGAGAACATATGCAGAACTGCAAATGCTATCCGCGCATTGTCTACATTAGGCTTCAGTATTACCGTAGAAGTGATCATGGAGACGGTAGACTTGAGCAGTTCTATAAATGTTGCTATACATGAAATGCTCGGCGCAGAGTTTTGTGTTCTGGTTGCAGAAAAGGAGGCTGTGCGACGAAGCATGACTAAAAAGAAGTAACGATTTGTTGTCTAACTTATGTAATCTGTAGTCAAGAGGACTTGTTCCTGTAATCCGCTTCTCATCTCTTCGCGTCTTATACCTTTGTATCATTAAACAGAAATTTTATCGTTTGAAATCTCATTGCGTCCCTACTTTCATCAGTCTTTCATCCCAATTACTTGCCATTTTGCAAATTGCAAAACCTTGCTTGCTATCATCATCAGGATACAAAAATGCATGACTGCTTGTAAATGTACATTGAGATTAACATTTGAGAAAATCTGCTACAAAGTACAGACAATGTGTATCTGAAAACTTTAAGATCTACAATCTCTGTGTCTTTCGAATGATAACAAGACCAGATGATTTACAACGGTTGTATGCGACGTTTTTAAAGGCTTGTTTGGATGTATTTTTAAAATGACTGAAAGCGTTTTTAGAGAAAATATAGGGGCTTTTTTGTATGCGACATTTTCACAAAAAACGCTTTCAATCATTTTAAAAGCACATCCAAACGAGCTGTAAGATATCATAGCTCATCCTTTGGCGGTGATTCAACTTCGAGGCATTCTTCGTCCCAATAGTAGGGGTACTTTAACTTTGCTGCAGTGTGCGGCATGAACCAGTCCTCATATATGAACCTGAAAGTTGAAACCAAGGGTGGAAGTATCATTCACCGTTCCTTACAATCCGAAAAAGAAGAAACAAATAACCTGGCATGAGAATGCGAAAGAATGCATCTGCATATCATGGTGCTCTATTTGATATCGGACTGAAGTTGAAGAAGTAATAGATGAGATTAAACATAGAAGATGAAAGAAGGTAGATTGCATACACTTTAACTGACGGACGGGATATGGTGACAAGCACTTGCAAATCCTCGTGTTCATTTGTATTCCGGACCTGCAAAGCAACGAGTAAGTTGTGAATTGCCTATCGGAGAAGAATAAAACATATTAAGTGTAGAATGCTTAGGTTTACCCGGTGAGCATTGTTAACAGGTATGTGAAAAGTGCTATTTGCAAAGACAGAGAACTCTTGGGGCTTTCCAGGGAACTTCTCGTGTGAGCTCAGTGCAAGGTAGAGAGTTCCACTTCCCTTTAGGACAACGAAAACTTCTTCACAAGAATGCCTGTGTATTGGTGTGCCTGATCCTGGAGCAAATGTTTGTAGCCAAACCTCAACCTGTGAACCCAATAATTGTATCATATATCATGTCCCCCCAAAAAAATTCTCGAATTCAAACTTGTTCATCGCAAAGTAAGATCTACAATGTCCAAGGCACATCGAAGGACAAGAAGTTTAAGACATAGACGGTTTAAGATGACAGCGCATACACACGAGTATATTATCGAACAACTTTCAGTGAAATCTTGCTTGAGGTCATTGTGCAAATCAAATAGTGTAGACTATAGTCCTCTACGCCACTAAGATCACAAGAACAGTAAATTCTCGAGCAAATGGTGGAACGGATATACCTCTTTCAACCCATGCAAGAGTGAACCAGCAACAGTTGTGTGTGCCAAACCTGCCCTTCCATAGTTATTCTGTGGAAGCTCACTGATATTTCTTACTAGAGGTAATCCTGCATCCAACATTTACATTTTAAGCAATATAATAGTTAATTAATTAGCTTAATCCATATCATTATTAAGCATATTACCCACAATCCGAAGGATATAAGAGAGTGGAACCAAAACATCAAGTTCAAGAAGGGAAGAAAACAGAACCAAACACCATTAGAGACATTAATTATGAATCAAATGCTCATTAACCATTAACATAGAGCTCGTTTGGAAGTGCTTTTAAAATGATTGAAAACGCTTTTAAAGGAAATGTTTTTGGGTTCCTAAAGCACTTGATGTGTTTTTCCATTATTCACTTGCATTTTTATTAAGATTTGGGTCCAAACACCAAAAACGCTTTCAGCCATTCTAAATGGACTTCCAAACAAACTCATATACGCTAGCAATTAATAGCTAATTAGCTTAATCTATATCATTAACAAGCATATTGCCCACAATCCGAAGGATATAAAAAAGTGGAAGATTTCACCACATGGACAGTCTCAAAATTCCCAGATAATACAGAGTCAAACACTATTAGAGACATTAATCATGAATCAAACGCTCATTAACCATAAACCAATGATCAAGAAAACAACTACTAACACTCTTTGATGAAAAAAAATGAGATTTGAAGCACGAATTGTGTAAATTCAAGAAAGATTAAGAAGGACCTGTTACGTTTGAGTGAGCATTTGGAAGCTTCAGATACTGCAGAGAAGAACAGTAAGCTGAAGAAGAAGATAGTAAGCGAAGAAGGCCCTGCCATTTTCTCGCTCCTTCCACAACTTCTACTTTCTCTGATCCTTTCATGAAGAGTGCCAAGTTTATTCTCTAATTTACTTTTTGTTGGGTTGCCGCAGGCCCAAAATCACTATTAGGCCCAAAAGCACTTTTATGAGGGATAAGGCACACAAGAGTCCAAGACCAAATCCTCTTGCAAAAGGTTTAAGCTTTCGCCGGAGGAGGAGACGAGAGTGTGTGCCCAGCTGCTGCTCGACTGAGCTGTCTGCCATTGATGGGTTGATCTTAGCGGCTCTCTGGATAAGAAGCTTAAGCAATTCTCAGCCTGAGCCAACTCCACGAACAGGTCAGCTTCTTCTTCTTCTTCTTCTCTGTAACTTTGTTCAAGTTAACGAGCATTTCACTGACGACAATGGAGATAATACGAGAAATGGATAATTGAGTTTTCTCTTCTTCCTTCTCTGCAACTTTGTGTACTGAGTGGCTTTTTACTATCTGCTTTTGAAAGTAGCTAAACTTTCTGCAGTTCGGCTTTTCCTACTGAAAGAAGCTAAACTCTACGTTTTATGTATTTTTGGGTGTGAATGGTAGAACCCAAATTTTCTTCGGTGCCTAAGATATGAAATTTGTATTCTTTTTATGTGTTTTTATAGAAATTTGTATTCTTTTTATGTATTTTTGTAGAAATTTGTATTCTTTTTATGTATTTTTGTATAAATTTGTCTCAGAAATGAAAATTAACCGTCTTTTGGTTGCTGTATTTCATTAGAATTTGTGAGTCCGTCATTAGAAAGTAAGAAAATAAAAAGATTATCATGTTGGATTAGTAGATTTGAGTAATTTTTGCCTATGATAACTCACTGTTATTATCTTCTTGTATTAGTAGATGTGCCTTGATGAACAAGATTATCATGTTGTTCTCTGCATTGGTACTACTATGTAATTGAGTTGAGCCTTTCGTTTTTCGCAGGCGGGTTGGTAGTTTTGAATCTGGAAGTATGAAGATCAGATGCAATGCTGGTGTTACGAAACCCAGCTTTTTGCTTGTGCATTCAGAATTACCGGCGCTTACATCTCTTAAGCCCCAATTCACTTCTATATCGACGCTTTGCAATCGAGAGAAGTTGATAGGGTTGATAACAAGGTGTCAGTATTCTGTTTCTGGTAGAAGGTCAGCAACCAGTTATAAGGGTTCATCGGTTTCAAAGACAAACACCAGTCTTATAGGTAGGAGGGATAGAGGTTCTTCATCCTTATATAGTCGTCCTAGTCTGTTAGAGATGAAGAATGAAAGGATGGAAATTCGTGCCCGGGTTTATGATTTCTTGCGAGGAATTGGTATTGTCCCTGATGAGCTTGATGGATTGGAGCTTCCTGTTACAGTCGAAGTTATGAGGGAACGTGTGGATTTTCTTCACAATCTGGGACTTACAATCGAAGACATTAACAACTATCCACTTGTTCTAGGCTGTAGTGTGAAGAAAAACATGATTCCTGTGCTCGATTATCTTGGGAAGTTGGGTGTTAGGAAATCCACATTCACAGAGTTCTTGAGAAGATATCCACAAGTCCTGCATGCTAGTGTTGTTATTGACCTTTCACCGGTGGTCAAGTATCTTCAAGGAATGGATATCAAACCTGATGACATTCCTCAGGTTCTTGAGAAATATCCAGAAGTGCTGGGATTCAAGCTCGAGGGGACCATGAGCACTTCGGTGGCTTATTTAGTTGGAATTGGGGTCGCAAGAAGGGAGATTGGTGGAGTTTTAACTAGATACCCTGAGATTTTAGGGATGCGTGTAGGTAGGGTGATCAAGCCTTTTGTTGAGTTTCTCGAAAAGCTGGGTATTCCTAGACTAGGTGTGGCTAGACTGATAGAGAAGCGTCCTCACATCCTTGGGTTTGGATTGGAGGAGAGAGTGAAACCGAATATTCAATCCCTTTTGGAGTTTTGTGTTCGAGAAGAATCACTTGCGTCTGTAGTGGCACAGTATCCTGAGATCATAGGAATTGATCTCAAGCCTAAGCTTCTCAGTCAACAAAGTTTGATCAAGTCGGTAATTGATTTGGATCCCGAGGACTTTGGCAGAGTTGTTGAGAAGATGCCTCAAGTTGTTAGCCTCAGTGATAGACCTATGATGAAGCATGCTGATTTCCTTAAGAATTGTGGATTTTCCTTGGAGCAAGTGAGGAAGATGGTTGTCGGGTGTCCCCAGTTGCTTGCCTTGAATCTGGACATCATGAAACTCAGCTTTGATTTCTTTCAAACGGAGATACAAAGGCCTTTGGATGACTTGGTTGCTTTCCCAGCATTCTTTACTTATGGTCTAGAATCGACTATAAAACCAAGACATAAGATGGTTTCAAAGAAAGCGTTGAAATGCTCCCTTGGATGGCTTCTCAATTGCTCTGATGAAAAGTTTGCACAACGGATGGACTACGACACCATTGACATGGAGGAGATGGAATCCTTGCCATCATTTGATATGAATACGCTCACAGAACCAAGGAGCGACGATTCAGGTTCTGAGTACGATGATGATAGCGATGACGATTATGTATAAAATGATCTTCATGTAATCAAGTACCGAAATTTTCATTCAAATTTTGTAAAACAAACAGATTGATGATGATTCAAATTTTGTACTGAAATTTTGGTTCCATTGATTGGGCATTTTGTTAGTTCAGCCATGGATTTTCGTTGTTGATGGGGTAAATTTATGAGTTTCTCTATTTAAACACCAAATTCATCTTGCTTTTGACCGCGAACTCAAGCGGAACACATTTCTAGTGAGGATGAGGGAGCGAATTGATGCAGTAACTGTTGAGATTCAAGAAATGTAGAACGAAATTAAAGAGAAATAAAAGGAAAGTTAAAAAGGTATCACGAATAGAAGTAAGAACACAAGGAAACGATTCAGTATTTATATGTACAAATGTATCATTGCATTACTTTGTTCAACTATATTTTCACTTGTCAATATTCATCCTACATAAACAATATCGCCTGAACATGAACGAATGCATCCATTTTCGCGACATTTCCCAAAAATCAACGATGGTTTTGGCTCCTGCAGACTGCAAGTGAGGCAAGCACCATTTTTTTCGTGTAAACGTACAAGCTCTTGTTGTACTTTCAAGCCATCAGCATTGAGAAACTTGATATAGATCATGTGCCTATCAATTGATTTGAAACGAGCAAGCAACTTCGATTCCTAGTCTTTTCTTTCTAGCCACCCAAGCTGTAGAAACAGACTGCATGTTACTAGCTATATTAGCAGAGAAACATCACAAATTATAAAAAGGAATGCCCAATTCGAGCATCTGAATCTCCGATCACACACCTTCCACGCATACATGGCGAAAAAGGCTACGGTATCAGCAGACCAAACGACAGCAAAGGACTTCACAAAGAATGGGATTGTAACATTGAGTAACGGGACGAGGAGGAAGAGATAGTTTAGAGCTTCCTTCTCATTTTTCGAGCAGTCTCGTGCACGCAGTGAAGGAATTGCTGCAAAATTAGAAAGTTAAATTCTTTGTTCAGTACATCTTTACTACAGCAGGAAACTTTGGAGGTAAATTTAGAGTGGATAACTTACTAAACATCCAAATGGACCACATTCCCATTAATCTCCATATGTCTGGTTCGTTCGATGGGAAGATGAGATTGAATGACAGAACTCCACCTAGCAGCATGGAGGCATAGGCTTGAACCTCGAAAACAGTGTAGAGGGTACTACCGGGCACAGCGGGGTTTTTGGAAGCTGTGGAAGCCCTTGGTGCAAAGGTTGCAGCAGTCTTCTGAACAACCTGTTGCAAAAAATGGAACCATAACGTTGTGAGAAATTGATTACATAATAGTTTTCTATCTGAGAAAAATGGTCTATCATTACACTGGGTGGATATGCTAAACAAAAAGGAATCCATCCGGTTGAAGAAAGTTGGGGCGTGTGATGATGCAATCATACCAACTCACATGCAAGGTCCCTTCTTTCTCCGACATGGGATTCATACTCTCAACATCCATCTGGTTAGGTAAGCTATGCTCGGAAAGATAGTCGAAATCAGACTATTCTCCAATGTAGATTACTTTCATTGCAGATTTGATGTTAAGGAGACGTCGATACAATTCTATTACCTTCTTCTACTAGTTTATTAATTTGTTCATGTTTTTGGTAATCAGCTACAAGTGAAATGCTTTTTCAGGTAGAAATCAGCATTGATTTTTGGCTTTAAGTTTTGTTTGTACCATACTTAGAGCCTCCGTATTTAGATCTCGTATAAATACTCGGGAGACTCAAATGTAATTATATAATAAATGAAGGGGCAAATATGTAATAAGTGAGGAGCTCTTATTCTATAAAATGACTCATCACCCTCCTCATTTGGAGAGGCCAAGATTGAGGGCAAGGCTTAGGCCACAGAAAATGGGCTAAAGAGAAAATAGGCTAGAGAGCACACTGCATCTAGCCTTCTTGTATATTCACCATTCAGAGTGAGCTAATATCAACATCAGTGTAGACGTAGCCCAAACATTAGGGTGAACCACAATACATCTTGTGTTCTTTACTTTCTTGTAGATTCACGGTCGGATTTACGTTGTTCCAAGACTCCTCCGGTTTTGTGCATCAACAAGTTTCATCCAATTCATTAGTGCAAGAAGCAAAAAGCTTGTCTTTGTAGTGCTGCAGACTGCAGAAAATTATGAGGTTCTTTTGAGGAGAGCTTTTTGATCAGTGCTTACAGCTCCATCTAACCGCGTCGAATTCTACTCAAATCGAGCACCAAATTCAACTCAAATCGATTCATAATCCTACATTAGGCTCACCAAAGCACACAAACTAACTCCAATATAACTTCTTGCAAATTTCCAGTGACTCAACTCTGTAAGGTGTGGAATTTTATGCAAAAGGCTTCGATGCTATCAGTAGCGGAACATTGTTTGTTGTAATTTATTTTGTTAAGTTTCCGACATGGGACTTTACATTCTTCAACTCAACCGAAAAATATGTGCTTGCGAATAGCTTGCTTTGATACCACGTTACAACATGAGCATAGGACGCTTTTTCTCGA